TCTCTCTCACACACGCGCACACACACACACTCTCTCACACACACACACACACTCACTCACTCACTCACACACTCACACTCACACTCACACTCTCTCTCACACACACACACACACACTCACTCACTCACTCACACACTCACACTCACACTCACACTCTCTCTCACACACAGATTTTTTCTTTGATATTTCGGCTGAAATTATGACAAAGCTGCTGAGAGTGTCAATACAATAATTAATCATAATTCATTTTGTGATTCCAGAAGTTTAACCAGATGTTCAATATAACCAATAGATTTTAAGGGGAACATTAGTCTTAATTGTATATTGTTGTTTTTTTAATAATAATAATTATAATACATTTAATTATTAACAATTCTGTTATAAATAATAATATATTAATAATGAAGTTATTCATTATTAATAATTTAATTTGAGGTTTGCCATTTTTTGCAGCTGTTGAAATGTCTAAAAAACTGTTAGATCCCTGATTTGTGTGGTTTTATTATTTCTCAGCAATAAACTTTAAGATCATGAAATGCATTTAATACAGTTAGTTACAGTGTTGCAGATTTAATATTCAACGAACCTCTGACTTTGATCGTTTTTCTTAAAATATCTTTTTTTTTACAGTTCTGAAAAATCCTTTTTATAGCATATGTGACCCTGGAGCACAAAACCAGTCATAAGTGTCAATTCTTCTGAATAAATAATCTTTCCATTGATGTATGGTTTGTTAGGATCGGACAATATTTGAAAATCTGGAATCTGAGGGTGCAAAAAAATCTACATATTGAGAAAATCATCTTTAAAGTTGTTCAAATGAAGTTCTTAGCAATGCATATTACTAATCAAACATTAAGTTTTGATATATTTACGGTAGGAGCCATTTTTTGCAGCTGTTGAAATGTCTAAAAAACTGTTAGATCCCTGATTTGTGTGGTTTTATTATTTCTCAGCAATAAACTTTAAGATCATGAAATGCATTTAATACAGTTAGTTACAGTGTTGCAGATTTAATATTCAACGAACCTCTGACTTTGATCGTTTTTCTTAAAATAAGTTTCCTAACCGGGTTAAACACTACTTTAGTGTACAAACTGATAAAAACTATTTGTACTTTGTTCATGTCTAGAATATTTCAAACGAATGCGCAAGCAACTTTCTGTACGTTTATATCTCGATCACACAGATATGAGCAGCTGAATGAAAAGTTGATGAAAAACAAGCTCAAATAATGATATTACAAATTACATGTTCAAAGAATCTTATTTGAAGTATTAAAACTCAAAATTCAAGTATTAAAAAGCAAAATCAAGATGATTTTTTCCCCTCCTTAATAACTGTTGGTTATATTTAACACTTACATTATCACAAAATGACTCATGATTAATTCATATTTTGACACTCCCAGTTTGAAAGTTTAAAAACAAGTAGCTTTGTCATAATTACAGCCGAAACGCTGATATTTCATTCTACAATCAAAACAAAAAAAGCTGGTGTAGAAGCAGAAATTGCTAGTAAGTTCCACAAATAATTACACAGAAACAGCAAGTAACATTGTGACATTTTGAAGTATAAAAACGGAAATGGTATTTTCTTGAGAAAAGCACTTCCATAATCTTTTTTTTTACAGTTCTGAAAAATCCTTTTTATAGCATATGTGACCCTGGAGCACAAAACCAGTCATAAGTGTCAATTCTTCTGAATAAATACTCTTTCCATTGATGTATGGTTTGTTAGGATCGGACAATATTTGAAAATCTGGAATCTGAGGGTGCAAAAAAATCTAAATATTGAGAAAATCATCTTTAAAGTTGTTCAAATGAAGTTCTTAGCAATGCATATTACTAATCAAACATTAAGTTTTGATATATTTACGGTAGGAGATTTACTAAATATCTTCATGGAACATGGTCTTTACTTAATATCCTAATGATTTTTATATTTATATATTTATATTTAAGTGAAAATTAAAATAATTTAGAAATTATTTTTAAAATATTAGATTTTTTCTTTTTTAAATATTTAAATTTTGCAAAAATGTAAAATTATTATTTTTTAATTATATAAATGTAGTGCAAATTAAATAAACAATATAACATTCTTTAGTTTTATGTGTGGGTATATTAGTGAAAGCTTACCTCGGTGTTGTTTTCCACCTGCAGGTGCAAAGGTGACGTCCACAGACCTGCCGGATGTCCTGGGTAACTGAGACTCGATGTGAACCGCAGCACTAGAGGGCTCTGCAGACACGAGCTCAGCTCAGGGAAACAGCTGGAGGAGCGATTCCCGCGCAACACCTGCCACGACGACTACATCACGAGCAGGAGCTGATGGAGACCTTCATGCACCCAAGCTCAGAACACACCATCATCCTGTGGGCCACGAGGCTCCGTCTGGATCCGGAGAACAGCTTCGAGAACACATGTGTGACCCTGGAGCACAAAACCAGTCATAAGGGTCAATTTTTTAAAATTGAGATTTATGCATCATCTGGAAGCTGAATAAATGAGCTTTCCATTGATGTATGGTTTGTTAGGATAGCACAATATTTGAAAATCTGGAATCTGAGGGTGCAAAAAAATCTAAATATTGAGAAAATCATCTTTAAAGTTGTTCAAATGAAGTTCTTAGCAATGCATATTACTAATCAAAAATTAAGATTTGATATATTTACGGTAGGAAATTTACAAAATATCTTCATGGAACATGATCTTTACTTAATATCCTAATGATTTTTGGCATAAAAGAGAAATGTATAATTGTGACCCATACTGAATACACAGTGTAAAAAAATGAATACGATTTCAGTTCACATCATTGCATCAGTGTCTCAGCAATGGATGCTCTGCAGTGAATGGGTGCCATCAGAATGAGAGTCCAAACAGCTGATAAAAACATCATAATAATCCACAGCACTCCAGTCCATCAGTTAACATCTGGAGAAGACAAAAGCTGAAACTAATCCAGCATTAAGATGCTTTTAATGTCCAAGATACGAGTCCATAATAACGCTTCCTCCAGTGAGTCAGTATTCTGGTGTGAATCAGGAGAGAAATCTGCACAGATCAAGCAGCAAGATGCAAGACAACAGGAGATGCACTTGTGGACTACATTTCTGCAATCCATGCAATCAGTGATGTTATTTTCACGTGATCATGCTTTTCATTACATTCACTCTCGTTAAGCTTTGAAGACTTTTTGATACAGAAATGTTACTTTTACAACATGAGCATTTTCATTACTTCTGAGTCAGGTTTCCTTCTCTAAACACAGCTTCTGAAACTCTAAGAAGAGCCAGATGTGTTTATGACTAACGGCACGTAGCAGTAATGGATTACAAACATGTTTTTTGGTATTGTTGGCTATTGCTACAAATATCCCCCAGCGACTTAACACTGCTCTTGTGCTGCAGGGACACATTGAGAAGCACTTTCACCTGGAGGAACTTTACAGCCTGCGGATAAAGCTGTACCGCGCACAAAAACAATGCATACGGGTCCCTAAGGACTGTAACTAAAATATATTACAGAAACAGAAACTGGGTGGGTTAGGATAAGTCAATTAATTAACCACAATTCATTTTGTGATTCCAGAAGTTTCAAGAATGGCTGAAGTCTAAAATAAAAACAGAGAAAAATGAATACGATTTCAGTTCACATCATTGCATCAGTGTCTCAGCAATGGATGCTCTGCAGTGAATGGGTGCCATCAGAATGAGAGTCCAAACAGCTGATAAATACATCACAATAATCCACAAGTAATCCACAGCACTCCAGTCCATCAGTTAACATCTGGAGAAGACAAAAGCTGAAACAAAATGTGGATTAAGACGCTTTTAATGTCTAAAATATGAGTCCATAATAACTCTTCCTCCAGTGAGAAAGCGTTCTGGTGTGAATCAGGAGAGAAATCTGCACAGATCAAGCAGCGGTTAAACAGCTCTAAACTAATATGTGGCTGGATTTTATTTTCACGTGATCATGCTTTTCATTACATTCACTCTCATTAGGTTTTGAAGACTTTTTGATACAGAAATGTTACTTTTACAACATGAGCATTTTCATTACTTCGGAGTCAGGTTTCCTTCTCTAAACACAGCTTCTGAAACTCTAAGAAGAGCCAGATGTGTTTATGACTAACGGCACGTAGCAGTAATGGATTACAAACATGTTTTGGTTCTTCTGAGGGCAGCAGCCCATTTGGACCATGCATACATGTCTGATGATGATATACAGAGATATCTGATCCTGGCATCATGTGCTGGAGTCAACACATGTACATATGTCCAAGATACGAGTCCATAATAACGCTTCCTCCAGTGAGTCAGTATTCTGGTGTGAATCAGGAGAGAAATCTGCACAGATCAAGCAGCAAGATGCAAGACAACAGGAGATGCACTTGTGGACTACATTTCTGCAATCCATGCAATCAGTGATGTTATTTTCACGTGATCATGCTTTTCATTACATTCACTCTCGTTAAGCTTTGAAGACTTTTTGATACAGAAATGTTACTTTTACAACATGAGCATTTTCATTACTTCTGAGTCAGGTTTCCTTCTCTAAACACAGCTTCTGAAACTCTAAGAAGAGCCAGATGTGTTTATGACTAACGGCACGTAGCAGTAATGGATTACAAACATGTTTTGGTTCTTCTGAGGGCAGCAGCCCATTTGGACCATGCATACATGTCTGATGATGATATACAGAGATATCTGATCCTGGCATCATGTGCTGGAGTCAACACATGTACATATAATCCACATAAACAAACCCCCGCTTTTCTGAAGAGAGATTCAGAAAACATCCTAATGCAGGAAAGCCAATCATTTTAACATTATCTCTTCATGCATGCATCTGCCAAATGCTGTAAATGTGGCTCGGCGTCTCCATTGCCAGACCACCAATTTTCACGTGATCATGCTTTTCATTACATTCACTCTCATTAGGTTTTGAAGACTTTTTGATACAGAAATGTTACTTTTACAACATGAGCATTTTCATTACTTCGGAGTCAGGTTTCCTTCTCTAAACACAGCTTCTGAAACTCTAAGAAGAGCCAGATGTGTTTATGACTAACGGCACGTAGCAGTAATGGATTACAAACATGTTTTGGTTCTTCTGAGGGCAGCAGCCCATTTGGACCATGCATACATGTCTGATGATGATATACAGAGATATCTGATCCTGGCATCATGTGCTGGAGTCAACACATGTACATATAATCCACATAAACAAACCCCCGCTTTTCTGAAGAGAGATTCAGAAAACATCCTAATGCAGGAAAGCCAATCATTTTAACATTATCTCTTCATGCATGCATCTGCCAAATGCTGTAAATGTGGCTCGGCGTCTCCATTGCCAGACCACCAAGATATCAGGCCCTACATGGTAAAGGTGTTCAATCGCCCACTGATTCCAGAGGGTTTTAGGAGCGCATACAGAAAGGATTTAGGGCGATGAACTCATGTGTCCTCCAGAGATATAATGAGTGTTATATTGGGTTTCCCTTCTGTGGAATCCATTTAGCGCATACCAGCTGCCTAGACTCATAAACCAACAGGGACGGAATTAATGGGCAAAAAATAAAAGGGTGAATGCCACATGTTCAGATTACACTGCACCACACCCCAATAAAGATTATATGCATTTTTTTACATTGTGTGCCTTTTGTTTACCCTGCAATAAATAACATATGATGCATTAATTACTACATTTAAAAACATTAATTTATCAGTATTTTATTGCATTATACTAATTGGTAGAGGACCAATTAGTAGATTTAGAAGAAAAATGTGAATTTTTTGCATTTTGTTTAACCTTACAAAACGTGTAACAATTCTTACATTTAAATACATTTTAATGTATCAGTATTTTTATTGTATTATAGTCTACTAATTGTGGGAGGACTGATTTTCTTAAAGAAAACAATACATTTTTGCATTGTGTACATTTTGTTCACCCTCAAAAGCAGTATAATAAACAGCATATGATGCATAAAGTCTTACATTTAAATACAAATTTATCAATATTTTTACTGCATAATAGGAGAGGACCAATTATCATAAAGTATATTTTACATTGCGTGCATTTACCATTTTATTTTTATTTGACTGACTTACTAAATCAGTGCAATGAATAGTAAAATGCTGCATGAATTATAATGTATCTATATTTTTATTGCATTACACTAATTGGGAAAGGGACAATTTTTTTTTTTAAAGAAAACCCCAGATTATTTTTTCTTTTGATTTTGGAGTGAAATATGATTCAAGCATGTTCTTGACCGGTTTCATAAGATTCACCTCAAAGTAAAACACTTGTACAACTCAGTATGCCGCAAATGTTTTACTTTAAGAACAGTCAAGTCAAACTAGTACTATATCAGCTTACTAAATAACCAGATAACAGGCGCTGGCATTCTGAACAGCTCTTATTATCTCAAGGCTTTAGTGTTTGTCTTCACAATCTCTTTGTGCCAACAGAAGCTCGTTCCCCATCTCCTACATCATGCTCTATTTCTCAGTGTTTGTGTGGCTGTGCCTCTGCTTCATGAATCTCCAGCTAAATATAGTCATGGCAGTGTGACGCTGGAGTATAACCTTGCTGAGGATGCAGTTGCAGAAGCACTAACTGGATAACTGTGACGGATCAACAAGGTAACCTCTGCAGACACATGGACTCCTCTGGAGATTAAAACAAGGTGACGGTGCAGTGATGTGAGTGGAATGCAGTGATTTCTTCTGAAGCTGCAAAATGCATTTGAGGAAATACAGTAGCACTAAGTTTAGAGTAAATTTGGGACTGTATAAAATCGTTGTAGTTTATCTGATTGCACCAATGCATTTTTTCACTTGCCTGTATATGCAAACTTTTACAAGTACCTTGTTTTTAATGTCTCTCCAAATGAAAAATCCTAAAAGTCCTATTTTAAAAAGGACATGCTGCATAGCATCACATCGTGCACTTGATGTTTTTGCTACTTTGTTGAAATTGTGCACTGATTTATTTGCATATTTCATTAACTAATCTGAAAAAACAATGTTTGAGAAACTGGCAAAAACATATTTTAACAGGTCAACATTAAAAAAAGAGATGATTTTAAAACACAATGATCTAAATGTGTTTTTTTAAATCAGCGAGTAAATAGCATCATGGATTGTTCTCAGTCTGGAAATGCAGACGCCACAATAGAGACGGATGGGAGCGTGAACGCTGCGAAAGATGATACAGATGAAGACAAAGAAAAGCATGAAGGTAAGTAATTTAAAATTTATTGGCAAATAATCTCAAAATTACCTTCTCTTAAAGGAACAAACGCTCCCAAAAATTAAAATGTGCTCACCCTCAGGCCATCCCAGATTAAGATGAGTTTGTTTCTTCATCAGGTTTGGAGAAATGTAGCACTGCATCAGTGTCTCAACAATGGATGCTCTGCAGTGAATGGGTGCCGTCAGAATGAGAGTCCAAGGAGACGGATGGGAGCGTGAACGCTGCGAAAGATGATACAGAAGACAAAGAAAAGCATGAAGGTAAGTAATTTAAAATTTATTGGCAAATAATCTCAAAATTACCTTCTCTTAAAGGAACAAGCGCTCCCAAAAATTAAAATGTGCTCACCCTCAGGCCATCCCAGATTAAGGGTGCCGTCAGAATGAGAGTCCAAGTAATCCACAGGAAGCATTATTATAGGTTATGGACTTGTACTTTAACAAGCAGCAACGGTTATTAAAGTTAAAAACATCTTGTTTCAGCTTTTTTCTTCTCCAGATGTTAACTGATGGACTGGAGTGATGTGGATTATTGTGATGTTTTTATCAGCTGTTTGGACTCTCATTCTGACGGCACCCATTCACTGCAGAGCATCCATTGCTGAGACACTGATGCAATGCTACATTTCTCCAAATCTGATGAAGAAACACACTCATCCTGATCTTGGATGGCCTGAGAGTGAGCACATTTACAGCACATTTTTATTTATGACTGAAACACAACACTACAGCTGTATAAATCTGAATGAGGAATGCATCAGTTTTTCACTTGTTATATTGGGCAGAAGTCGTCCCTGTGCGTAAGGCCTCCTGGGAGCCCAGTGTGCTTTCCACCATTGGAAAGGAGATCCATTATTTCGCCGGTCATGAGATCAGCATCTGGGAGTCTCTCGATTCATTTGGTTCTGTCATCTGGCCAGCAGTGAGACGAATACTTTATTACATATTTGAAATATATAAGCTGAAGTGTGCCATTAGTCGGATGCTCAAATTCATCCTGGTGTTCAATTTCATGTTTAGAGTCACTTTCTGAAGAGTGAAACACTGTGACACTTTCACAACAATGATCTGTTTGTTTGAGTTGCCCGAAATGCCACCAGCTGACTCGACCAATCACGAGTTTGGGGCGGGGCTATCTAACTGACCAGTGGCAAACAGGGATGGGCACATGCAAGGAATGTTTAGTCTAGAACTTGTTCTAGAAGAGCAAATAATGGCACAGTTCACCTTTAACCATTTGTACATTGGTTCCTGATTGATATTCATAATCATGATACATTTTCTAAATTATTATTTAGGCTCTGGCTCTGTGTCGCTACCTTGAGACCAACCAAGCGACGGTTGACCTTGTTGACAAGGCGGTGCTAGAGATTGGCGCCGGCACAGGTCTCATTTCTATCGTGGCCAGTCTGTTGGGTAGGTACTAAGCAGCAGTGTTGGGGAAAGTTACTTTTAAAAGTAATGCATTACAATATCGCGTTACTACCTAAAAAATAACTAATTACTTAATTACTTTTTATGGAAAGTAATGCGTTACGTTAAGTAGAGGGCGCAGCTCAAACGAATTGCATGAAGAATATGATGCAGGAGAATAAAGTTCAACACTATTCAGCAATAACACAAATTAAACACAAATGTGTCAATTTAGCTTAGAATGATTTCTAAGAAGGGCCCCGAACCCCCAACTGCTCCCTGTGCGCCGCAGCAAAAAAAATGGCTGCCCACTGCTCCGGGTGTGTGTGGGTGTGGGTGGGTGTGTGTGTGTGTGTGTGTGAGTGTGTGTACTGCCGTGTGAATATCATGTCACGTCACTTGACGGATAGTAATGTCTACAATGGACACTAGCGTCGTCTCGGCGCGACCACAACAGCTTGAAGTTGTCTAATTTGGCACGGTCTCCCTGCTACACTAAGGCTTTCCTCTGTGTATACATATCCTTACAAGAACAATTTTAGCTGTATTATTTGTGTCCCCTTCAAAAATTGCCCCCCCAACTGTTAGATGAAATTTATGCCCCTGCCCCCAACACTGCCAAGCAGGAATGTCCAAACCTGTTCTTGAAGGGCTAGTGTCCTGCAGAGTTTAGCTCTAACCCTAAATAAGCACCAGCCGATTAATGTCTTCAGACTAGAAACATCCAGGTGAGGGTGTTGGAGCCGGTTGGATCCAAACTCTGCAGGACATTGGCCCTCCAGGAGTGGGATTAGACAACATATTACAATCCTATGGTTGTGTTGTATTTTCATACCTGTATAATCATCTCCAGGTGCTTGGGTAACAGCAACTGACCTGCCTGAAGTTCTCGGGAACCTGAGATGCAACCTGTCCAGAAACACATGGGGCCGCTGCAGATACACGCCGCAGGTGGCGGAGCTCTCTTGGGGTTATGAGCTCGATAAGACCTTCCCTCATTCAGTCTACAGATACGACTATATATTAGCAGCCGACATGGTCTATCACCATGATTATCTAGCAGAATTACTAGTCACCATGCGCCACTTCTGCCAGCCGGGTACAACCCTCATATGGGCCAACAAGACCCGCTTCGATTCTGATCTGGTGTTTGTGGAGAACTTCAAAAAAACATTCAACACCAACCTGCTGGCAGACAACGGAGACGTAAAGATTTACTCTGCCACCACGAGAGAAGAAAGTGGCCTAGAGACGTTAGACGAGACTAAAGGGGATGTGAGGAAAGGAGTGGACGAGGATGAAACGGTCAACAAAAAGACAAAGAAAGAGATGAAGGAAGGAAAGATCAAACAGACAGAAAAGTTTGTAGAACAGGTTCAGGAACATGAAAAGAAAGATGTACAATTTAGAGAAGAGCAGGCTACAGGTTATGTTGATGTGGAAAAACAGGAGGATGGAAACCTGAACAATATCGACGACGACAACACAAACCTTGAAACTGAACCTGATGATAGTGAAGATGAAGACAACGACGGCTGCTGTGAGATGGATTCAGCGTTTGTAGAGCAGAAATCTGGTCAGTGACTTTTGTTCTAAAACACAGTTGGCTTATCTAATGAATTCAAGTCTGATTTGGTCTTTTCTTTTAGATGGAAGCACAGAGAATGATAAACAACGGGAGTACATGAGATCCTGGGCACCGACTATTTGCTTCAGAGCCGGGAAAAAAGTTTATAATTTTTTGAGCCAGGAAATTACAATTCAGGAGTCCATCGATTCTTACGGTGCTACTATATGGCCAGCGGTGAGACACTTTCAACTGCAGAAACAATGAATCATGAGAGACAAATGCACATGTGAATAGAGTATGGGCCAGCTTTACTAACAGCTTGCACCAACGCAAATAGTCTTTTGGCGTTAAAATAGTACCGTCAAGATTTACTAAAGATGCACAGTGAAGAATTAGAGGTGAAAAGGCGTGGACAGTTATTTTTGCGCCTGACCTTATTGAATATGCATTTGTAGGAGTTTCACTTTCCAGGCACAAAATCTATGGGAGCAGAGTATTAAAATGAATCACACAACGTAATTTACTAACGTTTACTAACGTCAAAATTCTGGTATTTGCACTATTATTTAACACCCCAAAAACTACTTAAACTATTTTGCGCCTGTGTTGTAAGTAGATAACCCGCACCTGATGAGCATTGGTATATTGCATTGGTTGGTATGTAAATGAGATGTTGCGGTGTCCGTCTTTTGGCGTTAAAATAGTATTGTCAAGATTTACTAAAGATGCACAGTGAAGAATTAGAGGTGAAAAGGCGTGGACAGTTATTTTTGCGCCTGACCTTATTGAATGTGCATTTGTAGGAGTTTCACTTTCCAGGCACAAAATCTATGGGAGCAGAGTATTAAAATGAATCACACAACGTAATTTACTAACGTTTACTAACGTCAAAATTCTGGTATTTGCACTATTATTTAACGCCCCCAAAAACTACTTAAACTATTTTGCGCCTGTGTCGTAAGTAGATAACCCGCACCTGATGAGCATTGGTATATTGCATTGGTTGGTATGTAAATGAGATGTTGCGGTGTTCTTTAATTTGTACATTGTCAGTAAATCACCTGCAGAAATTTCCACGCCCATCGGTGCTGCTTTGGAATTGCGCTCTTGCGCTAATTTGCCCCGTTTAGTAAATCTGGTCCTAGATCAGCAATGACATCAGTAACCTAAGAACTTTGCTTTTGTGCAATGCTGCATCTAGTCCAAGAAAACAGTCAAGCAAAACAAACATGGTGTACTTTTAATAAACAGAGTACGGCTGTTTCTAAAGCATGCAGCACCATCTGCTGTTCAAAACTAAGCTCAGAATCGACTCAAGAAAGAATCGCGATGCATTTGGAAAATTTTAGAATTGATGCGGAATCATTTCTCGATTCGTGATGCATGAATTTATTTTCCCAGCCCTAGCATCTTGTAGAGGTCCAATGCGCTTAAATAGGTGCTTTCGCACCAGAGGAATCTTTTCATAGTTCCTAGAACTATTGGCAGAATTTCTTTTTGGTGTGTTCGCACTGCAGGAGCTAGCAACGTATTTAGTTCTAACAACTCCATTTGGGGGAACTAATTTAGCTCCTACTGCGGAGTAGGGTCTAAAACAGTTCTACAGGAACTATCAGTGATGTAAGTGTATGTTGATTTACCAAACGCATACGAAACACCGGCTACCCGGCATTTTTTCAAAAAGCCGAGTAAAAATATTTACTCCACGAACATGGATAACAGCGATAATGGCATTTGCCTGTAGCGGTGTTCTTTTCTCAACCTCGATGATAACACTGCAAGTTTAGGTTAGAGATTTAGTTTTTCCGATTTTCACTTTCAATCACGTAAATTGTGCGTTTACATTCCACCTCCGTTATCACGAAACCCATGACACGGCACAACACACACAGAACAAAAACAGCTCCGATCACGGCATCCTCCATTAACCGGTCGTTGATGTTTGTAAATGCCACGAATAAAGATGTTGCTGTCAGTCGCTTCAGAGTTGCATTCGCACCGGCAGCAAAGTCTTTATTCACGGCATTTACAAACATCAACAACCGGTGAATGGAGGACGCAGTGTTCGGAGCTGTTTTTGTTGTGTTGTGGGTTTCGTGATAACAGAGATGGAATGTACAGGTGCATCTCAATAAATTAGAATGTCATGGAAAAGTTCATTTATTTCAGTAATTCAACTCAAATTGTGAAACTCGTGTATTAAATAAATTCAGTGCACACAGACTGAAGTAGTTTAAGTCTTTGGTTCTTTTAATTGTGATGATTTTGGCTCACATTTAACAAAAACCCACCAATTCACTATCTCAACAAAATGACAGGAAGCCAGTGTTTCGTATGTGTTTGGCCAATCAGCGTTCACTTACGTCACTGGTAGTTCCTATTGAACGGTTTTAGACCCTACTCTGAATTAGTTCCCCCAAACGGATTTCCTAGAACTAAACACGTTCCTAGTTCCTGCGGTGCGAACGCGCCAAAACGCGGGAACTTCCGCCAATAGTTCCCGTAAGCTTCCTCCAGTGCGAAAGGGCCTATGGATACTTTTCTGATGGGATACTCTTCTTCTTTCTTTCCCTCAGTTGTACCTGCCAACACAGAACCACCAGAGCGCAGATCCTGGGCTCCCGCCGTCTACTACGGTCTTGGCAAGGAGATCTACTACTTTCTCGGTCATGAAATCAAAATTCAAGAAGCCATAGACCATTATGGCGGTGTGCTATGGCCAGCGGTGAGCATTAAACGTTCAACAGCACAGCAGTATATCAACCTGTAATATCAGGAAGAATCTATATGTGTGCTTTGTGAGAAGGTAAAATACATGGAGTCTAATGGAAACTATGAACTCCCGGTTTTGAATGTCATAGGCATTGGCCCTTTGCCGATTTCTGGACACCCCAATGGGCAGACAGCAGATTAATCTACTTGACAAATCAACGCTGGAGCTCGGAGCAGGAACAGGCCTCGTCTCGATAGTTGCCACACTTCTCGGTAAGTGTCAATATTTGATTCAATTAGGCCAGGGGTAGGCAAGTTCGTTCTTAGAGAGTCGCTGCCCTGCAGAGTTTTGCTTCAACCCTGAAAAAAATAAAATAAAAAATAACCTGCCTACAGCCTTAGTTATCTTGAAGACATTGAGTAGCTTGTTTGATTAGGGTTGGAGCTAAACTCTGCAGGACAGCGGCTCTCTAGGTCTGAACTTGCCTACCCCCTGAATCAGCAGTTCCCAACCACGTTCCTGAAGCCCTCAACAATGAACATTTTACATAGTCTCGCGTAGCCAGACCTTCAGACTGACGGCAGAAGGTCTGGGAACCTTACCCGCTTTGAATGGCCAAGGCCCGCCCAAAAGACCACATGACTGACAGGTAAAGCAACCAATCACATTTCATTTTGTGTCACGGCATGTTTAGGGCCGTGGAAATGTCCCCCACAATAACAGACCGGTGTGTAAAACTCTTGACATATTTTAAAGATTGTATGCCGCAAGTTTTAAATATTTCACATAATCCAGTGTTTAGTTGATCCTGATAAGCGCTAATCGTCACAGTTGTAAACACAACGGCTTTCTTCTTCCATGAGGGGTTTGGCCAGGAGGAACGTTAAAGAACACGACGCACCCATCTCCTGGAAATCCTGTATAATTTAACCAATCCGATGACGACTCCAAAACTCCTGAAGTGTTTGCAATTTTGTGTGCCGTATGCATCAGACGTTTAGCCAATGGTCCATGCACATGACGTCTGAGGCCGATACTACTCCAAGACCTGAAATGGGTCTGTCACACAAAGGAGTAGGGATGGGTGATATGGGCTTTAAAATATATCACGATATTTCTGGTATTTACTGCGATAATGATATCAATGACGATAATTCAGGGAATCCTGTTTCTTAAGAGAAAAGTATTATCTTTCCTATTTTTACCCAAAATAGGGTGTTGTGAGCATTAATGAGTATACGTGTAATGTAATGACTGTTTAATTCATACTGGAAGCCGGAGGGCGCAGAAACTCCACATGGATCGCTGAAGTAATACACTACTGATGACACTCCAGGAAATCCCTAATATGGACAAAGGTATCCAGTTATCGCGGAATAAAACGCACAATGGAGATAGAGAAATAACAAAAAGAAGTTATTTCAAACGCTCAACTATGTTATGAAGTTAATTTGAAGAAAAAGCATGTCAATAAATTATATCTTTGTTGGACAACAGGTTTGTAAACGGGCTCATACATGCAAAACTCTACATAGTACATTTATTCAAGGCTCAGACCGATTTTTTTGTCGCACTGTACAGCTGTGACCAAACCAGTTCCAGATTGTAGAAGGAGCTCCTCGTTTAGCGATCAACTCCTCCTCAATTTCACGCCCGCCTTCCGCGATGTCGCTCTGCACAGTTGCCAACAGAAATATGTCAACAACTAGACTTTATCGTTATATCGCGGGAAGACGAATTCTTATCGTGGAGAGAATTTTTACAAACGATAAGATATCGCCTATCCCTACAAAGGAGACATGCAAAAAGTGGAGTGTTGTTGGGGGGCTCTAGGAACGTGATTGGAAACCATTGGACAAAGCCATGGGGTGTCCAATCCTGCTCCCAGAGGACCAACGTCTTGCAGAGTTTAGTTCCAACCATCCCCAACACACCTGCCTGGAGTTTCCAGTAATCCTAAAGACCTTGACTAAACTGGTTCAGGTGCGTTTAAATGGGATTTGAGCTGAACTCTGCAGGATAGTAGCCCTCCAGGAGCAGAATTGGACACCCCTGGTTTAGACTAATCTTAAGACCAAAACTTTTGTAGGTGCTAAACTGACAGCCACGGATCTGCCAGAAATCCTCGGTAATCTGAGGTGCAACTTGAACCGGAATACCAGGTGGCACTGGAGACATGAGCCTCAGGTTACAGCATTGCAATGGGGCTACAAACTGGAGGAGACGTTTCCCCGTTCCACGCATTATTACGATTACGTGCTGGCAGCTGATGCGGTCTATCACCACGACTGCCTCGCTGAGCTTCTTGACGCCATGCTTCACTTCTGTCAAATGGGGACAACGGTAATCTTTGCAAACAAGGTCCGGTATCAGTCAGATCTGGTATTTATTGAGAACTTTCAGAAAGCTTTTAACACCACATTACTGACAGAGCTGGACGAGGTGAGGATTTACTCAGCTACCATGAGAATCTGATGACGTGAACCAGAAGGCTTTCTGGACTACACTGCCGGCACAGGTAGAGGAGGTGAAGATATGTGGCTGTGGCTCACGTTTGTTTAAGGAACCAACACCATGTTCACACTGCAGACAATTCCCATTGGTTTGTTACATCAATCTGCCAACATCGACGTTTGCAAGTTATCAAATCAGCATCTTTAGGTAATTTCCAGATATATTCATTTGGCATCCAAATATGGGCCAAGACCTACAACAATAGGTTGGCAGTGTTATAATATTTGGATCGGCCCAATTCTTTTTTGCTAACTTGTCAAATATTCGTATACCAACTTTGTGGAACTCAGATTTCAAACTAAATAGGATTTATTTTATATGTGGCCAACTCGAATCCAATTACTTGTGTTTTTTGATTGGTTTAATTTAAATTTTCACATTTATTTTCAGACTATACATTTACGTGGTTTCATGTGATATTAGATGAGATTCATTCCAGTCAGTTCAGAATTCAAGTTGTTTTTGTCATCTTTCAGTTTGATTCGGATTGAACTCATTCTGATTTGATCAATTGCGAAAGAACAGCACGAACATTAAAACCTCAAGATGGGTTTTGAAAAACAAATCCGAATGGTCTGCACTGAAAATAAAGCCACGCTGATTATAGATGTAGACGCTTATGAAAACTAATCTGATTGAAATTTTGTTTTGTGAACCTAGACTACAACAGGATAGAGAATTTATAAAGAGTTTGTAACTAAACCTTTGCACAAATATACAATAAACACTGTAATGAATTATTCACGAAACAAAAATTCCAACAAAACATAGGCATAATTATTGAACCTTTAAAAAACAAAACACATCCGGAGGGTAAAATGGTGAGTAATACAAGTTTAGGATGTTTAAATAAAGCTTAAATGATTTAAAAACAATGTAAAATACTGAGAAAACAGTTCTTACCGCGCTGTAATGGGAGAACGCTGTGCTTAAGTTAATTTCAGATGAAATGCATGTCTTAATGAAAATTAACTGTGCTATGCACATAACCATACAAGACTATTATCTTACAAATATTGTTTACTATATCAGAAAGCATAATCTAATGTGAATAACATTTGTACTCAAATATGATTAAGTAAATTGTCACAAAAAAATGAGCAAAATATTTTCAGTTCCAGATAGTTTTATTCAGAACCTTCATCAAATACACTGTTCAGCACATTTACTGTGTTAACAAAATAAGCGGCTGTTACTTCTGAAACGATATATAGAAATGGATATAAAATGACACCTACCAACTCTATGCATGAATTAAAATGACTCTAAGATATTGGCATTAACTAGTATTCATTTATACTTTATAAATACAAGACATCCATAAATATATCTGAAGATATTCAAGGGTTTTTGATACAGAATTCTCTGATATTTCCTGAAGAAAGCAGAGGTGGACGGGGTTTGATGAATATTTAAGGCCATTTTTTTTGACATAAGGAATATTTAAGAATATTTTCCAAGCCCTCGGAGGAAACGTGAGCGCAGGATGTGATGTCACAAGTGAAAACACACACAGCATGAATTGTTGGCTTCGTTTCTTACTTTTCTTCCTTAGTATTTAGTCTTGTTTTCTAGTATAAATACCTAAGAATTCTGGAATTAAGGTGCATTTACTTGACTATAAAGAACTTACGATATTTTGTCTTGTTTTCTGAAAATATTACTCAAATTTTATTAGTTTTGGCTTAAAACTAATAAACAAAAACCTTATTATAATCTTAATTCAAAGGCTAAACAAGATTATTTTTCTTACCCCATCGGCTGATATTTTTACTTGTTTTAAGCGAAAACTAACAAAATTTGGATAAGATATTAAGTCTTATTTTCTGAAAAGTTATCCAAAATTTGTTCGTTTTTGCTTAAAACGAGTTAAAATATCTGCCGATGGGGTAAGAAAAATTATTTTGTTTAGCCTTTGAATTAAGATCATTTTTCCTACCCCACTGGCTGATATTTTTGCTCGTTTTAAGCAAAAACTAACAAGATTTGAGTAATATTTTCAGAAAACCAGACTTAATATCTTAAGTAATTTTACTTGTGAAGTAAATGCATCTTAATTCCAGAATTTGTAGATATTTATACAAGAAAACAAGACAAAAATACTAAGGAAGAAAATCATTATTTGCATATGCAGAGATGATCCGTTTTCAACATCTAAACCCTGAAGAATCACTCGAGACACACAACATGAGCGCGCACATTTAAATGCTAAAAGAAAGCGTGACAATCTCTGCTTCACTTACACACTCAAACGACAAATTCAGAAGGAAATCTTCGAGTCCAGGCTCAGAACATGAGAAAACTTGGACTTCAAATCACACAAAAGCTCAGACTTTTGAACATGAAATGACACTTGAGTCTTTATGGAACATGCATGCATTTGATTTACATAAGGGTCAATCATATATATATATATATATATAAAAAAAAAAAATTTACCCCAAAATTTAAAAACAAAATGCAGTAATGAAGTTAGTTTTCCTTGATTTTAGTCGCGGTCCATCATATTGCCTTGACGTTTTCTGTGTTCAGAAGCTCACCTGACCTTTACGCTGTTATTGTTGTTAAAAGGGGAAAAATGTCCACTGTGCAAATGCCCAGTAACTACATAAAGCAAGTTATTATACAAGTTCCCCTTAAAAGGAGACGAAGGCTGGAGCGTCACGCGAGTATGATGTAAAACACAGCGATATGGTTCAAGCTGTAGCATGAGAACTGTGGGTTCAGTGCTGTGATCCGCACAGAAAGGCATTGTGGGATCCGTGAAGGACCGTGTGATATGAAGTGTTTGCTTCCTGAAGGCATTAAAAGTATCCTCGGTTAAAAACGAATGACTTTAGAAGGGCGTGTAGTCAGACGGGAACATGATGGGCAGCCAGTTCTCAGAGTACAAGACGAGGTGCATCCAGCCTAGAGAGCGCATCAGCTGCAGAGACGCACAACACAACACAACAAATCATCTTATTAGTGAGCCTGCAGCACAAAAGCAGTGTTGAGTCGCTGGGGGATATTTGTAGCAATAGCCAACAATACATTGTATGGAGTCACAATTATACATTTCTCTTTTATGCCAAAAATCATTAGGATATTAAGTAAAGATCATGTTCCATGAAGATATTTAGTAAATCTCCTACCGTAAATATATCAAAACTTAATGTTTGATTAGTAATATGCATTGCTAAGAACTTCATTTGGACAACTTTAAAGATGATTTTCTCAATATTTAGATTTTTTTGCACCCTCAGATTCTAGATTTTCAAATATTGTCCGATCCTAACAAACCATACATCAATGGAAAGATTATTTATTCAGCTTTATTCAGACGATGCATAAATCTCATTTTCAAAAAATGGACCCTTATGACTGGTTTTGTGCTCCAGGGTCACGTTTTACAGGAGAACAGAACTTCATCCACATTTACTGCACTGATTATGAGGGAAATCAGTGGAATTATGCAGAAAGTGTTTAGTTACACAGAAAAGCGTTAGATGGAGATCAGAGCACCGTGACACAGCATCAGCCAAAATATTAAATAAAAATACAAAACATGAGAGTGTGTGGGATTTTACAAATAACAGTATGTGGAAAACTGAGGAGCTTTAAGCAAATACGATTTTTTTGTTTGTTTTGAAAGAAATATAGCTTTATTCATCAAGGATGCTTTAAATTGATCAAAAATTACAGTAAGAAATGTATATGTTACAAAAGAATTCTATTTCAAATGGATGCCGTTTTTTCATGTTTATCAAATAATCTCTTAACTTTTCTTGTACATTTTCTTGTAATTATGACACGGTATCTCAACATTTCGACTCATAACTGACTTTTTATCTAAATTTTTCATCTCAATTCCATTTTCCAATTTATGACTTTTTCTTGTAATCAATCTCATAATGTTATCTCTTCTCATATATCTCCTGACTTTGTATCATAATTTTGCCTTTCTTAGTATCTCATAACATGCATTTATTTTGTCATAATGAAAATGATTTCTGAAGATCATGTGACACTGAAGACTGGAGGAATGATGCTGAAAATACAGCTGCGCATCACAGAAATACATTACAGTTTAACAGAGATTCACATAGAAAACGGCTGTTTTACATTCTAATAATATTTCACAATTTTACTGCATCTTTGATTAAATAAATGCAGCTTTGCTGACATCTTTCAGAAACACTTACCTGTATGCAGTTCTTCCAGTTCTCTTTGCTGGGTTTGTCCTCGACGATCTTAGTCGCGAACTTCAAGGCCCTTGCGTACATTTTATTTGCCAGCGCGTGTTTGTAGGAAAATGCTAGAACCTGCAAAGAAGATATCCTCACGTCAAATAAAATATTCAGAGAATTTGTAGTTACTTTAAGGTATTTTTTTTTATAAATATTTTTAAAATTATCTTATGTCAAAAAATTTTATTTTTCACTCTCACACACACACACACACACACACACACACACAATTACATCTTGTTGCAACATTTGACAAAAATCCCGATTGAGTATATTTGGTCAAAACCTCATGTTATAAACGATGAAGTGCGATGCACGCTATTTAAGACAATAATATTAGCTAATCCTGACTTAAAATGCACAATGTTTGCCCTCTCTCGCTCTCTCTCTTCAGCGTTCCCACATCTCAGACCTCAAATACATCAAATATCACCCTTTTTAGACAGTTTTCAAAGTAAAGAATAAAAAAAATACTATACAAAACATATTGAAGCCATCATGTTAAGACCGTGTCTTAAAAACTAGTTTGACCAACTAGCAGCTGCCAAGATCAGTCTTACTCTTCCAATACAAATAAGACCAACCTACCTTTATTAAAAAAAAGTTATGAGCAGTCTTGAAGAAAAAACATTAGATGACTAACGTTTTAAGACTAGTCTAAACGGTTTATGCAACCGAGCCCTAGTTCTTTATTTATGCAACCGAGCCCCCCCTCCCCTACTTTCTCACTGGACTATTTTGATCTCAAAAAAGTGAGTTTGCATGCATGAATATTACAGTAATTAAATAACTAGCACACTTGTAAACACTGGACGTCCGTACCTTAGAGTCGGTGAGCTCTGTCCACTTCTGCAGCTCCCAGAAGGTGTCTGTCAGCGCTTTGGCCTGCGGCTCGTCCTCAGAGCTGCTCACTTCAGCTGCGCTGGAGTCCTCCTGCGCAGACGTCTGCATCAGCTGATCCGCCAGAGCGCAGCCCTTCCTGCAGAGCGCATCCAGCAGAGACGCCTTCTGCTTCTCCATATCACTGCAACAACACCAGACACGCTCGACACCAACGATCCTGAAGCATGTACACTACCGCTCAAACGTTTGGGATCAGTAAGACTTGTAATGTTTTTAAAGAAGTCTCTTGTGCTCATCAAGGTGTGTTTATTTGATCAAAAATACAGAAAAAAAACAAAATGTTATTACAATATAAAATAATGGTTTCTATTTGAATATCCTTTAAAATATAATTTATTTCTGCGATGCAAAGCTGAATTTCCATCATCATTACTCCAGTGTAAAGTGTCACATGATCTTCAGAAATCAGTATAATATGCCGATTTATTATTAGAATTATCAATGTTGGCTACCAAATATTTTTTGGAAACTGCGATATTTTTACAGGATTCTTTGATGAATAAACAGTTAAAAAGAACAGCATTTATTCAAAATATAAATCTTTGCTATCACTTCTTATGAATTTAACACATCCTCGCGGAATAAAAGTTTTAATTTCTTACAAAAAAAGAAAGAATAAAAATGTACGGACCCCAAACTTTTGAACGGTAGTGTATATTGTTAGAAAGGATTTCCATTTTAAATAAACGCTCTTCTTTTTAACTTTGTATTCATCAAAGAATCCTCACAAAAGTATCACAGCTTCCCAAAAAAAATAAAGCAGCAGCAACAGTTTCCAGCTCTGATAATAAATCAGCATATTATACTGATTTCTGAAGATCATGTGACACTGAAGACTGGAGGAATGATGCTTTGCATCACAGAAATAAATTACATTTTAATGTATATTAAAATAGAAAAATGTTATTTTATATCATAATAATATTTCACAATATTTATTTTTTCCCTGTATTTTTGATCAAATAAATGCAGCCTTGATCAGCAGAAGAAACTCCTGTAAAAAACATTAAAAATAATTCTGATCCCAAACTTTTAACCGGTAGTAGTGATGACGACGATGAGAAATAATTCCTTTGTCAATTAAACAGAAGGTTTATGTTTGCCTGCCGTTTTCAAAAGCTTGATGATTTCAAGGGAAGAATTTAAGACGAATATCAGCAGTGAAATTTTACTATTGTTGTGTAAAATAAAACTTAAATTATTATTATAAATAATTATCAAATATACATATTTTACTCAACACTACACATTTTTAGTTAACACTACATAATAATAATTATTATTATTATTATAAAAATAATAATAGTAGTAGTAAATACTCAGTTTTTTTACTAAAAAGTACAAAGGTAATAATATATTGATATATTATTTCAGCAGAGACGCCTTCTGCTTCTCCATATCACTGCAACAACACCAGACACGCTCGACACCAACGATCCTGAAGCATGTACACTACCACTCAAACGTTTGGGATCAGTAAGACTTGTAATGTTTTTAAAGAAGTCTCTTGTGCTCATCAAGGCTGTGTTTATTTGATCAAAAATACAGAAAAAAAACAAAATGTTATTACAATATAAAATAATGGTTTCTATTTGAATATCCTTTAAAATATCATTTATTTCTGCGATGCAAAGCTGAATTTCCATCATCATTACTCCAGTATAAAGTGTCACATGATCTTCAGAAATCAGTATAATATGCCGATTTATTATTAGAATTATCAATGTTGGCTACCAAATATTTTTTGGAAACTGCGATATTTTTACAGGATTCTAAAAGATTTATATTCAAAATATAAATCTTTGCTATCACTTCTTATGAATTTAACACATCCTCGCGGAATAAAAGTTTTAATTTCTTACAAAAAAAGAAAGAATAAAAATGTACGGACCCCAAACTTTTGAACAGTAGTGTATATTGTTAGAAAGGATTTCCATTTTAAATAAACACTCTTCTTTTTAACTTTGTATTCATCAAAGAATCCTCACAAAAGTATCACAGCTTCCCAAAAAAAATAAAGCAGCAGCAACAGTTTCCAGCTCTGATAATAAATCAGCATATTATACTGATTTCTGAAGATCATGTGACACTGAAGACTGGAGGAATGATGCTTTGCATCACAGAAATAAATTACATTTTAATGTATATTAAAATAGAAAAATGTTATTTTATATCATAATAATATTTCACAATATTTATTTTTTTATTTTTTTTTGTAAGTTAATGCAACCTTGATGAGCATTAGATAATTCTTTCTTTAAAAACATTTTTAAAATCTTACCTACCTCAAACTTTTGAAGGGTAGTACAAGAAGTTTGGTATAATTTTTTAAAAAGACAAAATCTTTCAAATTAAATCACAGTAACTAACTATAATGTAAGTCAGTTTGTCACGTGACGAGACCACCAAACGGTAGTGTATATTGTTAGAAAGGATTTCCATTTTAAATAAACGCTCTTCTTTTTAACTTTGTATTCATCAAAGAATCCTCACAAAAGTATCACAGCTTCCCAAAAAAAATAAAGCAGCAGCAACAGTTTCCAGCTCTGATAATAAATCAGCATATTATACTGATTTCTGAAGATCATGTGACACTGAAGACTGGAGGAATGATGCTTTGCATCACAGAAATAAATTACATTTTAATGTATATTAAAATAGAAAAATGTTATTTTATATCATAATAATATTTCACAATATTTATTTTTTCCCTGTATTTTTGATCAAATAAATGCAGCCTTGATCAGCAGAAGAAACTCCTGTAAAAAACATTAAAAATAATTCTGATCCCAAACTTTTAACCGGTAGTAGTGATGACGACGATGAGAAATAATTCCTTTGTCAATTAAACAGAAGGTTTATGTTTGCCTGCCGTTTTCAAAAGCTTGATGATTTCAAGGGAAGAATTTAAGACGAATATCAGCAGTGAAATTTTACTATTGTTGTGTAAAATAAAACTTAAATTATTATTATAAATAATTATCAAATATACATATTTTACTCAACACTACACATTTTTAGTTAACACTACATAATAATAATAATTATTATTATTATAAAAATAATAATAGTAGTAGTAAATACTCAGTTTTTTTACTAAAAAGTACAAAGGTAATAATATATTGATATATTATTTTATATCGGTTATAAGCAAGATTGTTTAAATGATTACTATTATGTTTTTAGTTAACAGTACAACAGCAACATTGCAATGTTAATTTTTAAAATGGTTTAAATTATTATTAGTAGTAGATGTATTTTCTACATATCCAGCACAATGGTACAATCTGCTAATAAATCTTAATTTTTAAAACATTGTTTAAATCATTACAATATAATAATAATAATAATAATTATTATTATTAATAAAAATAATAATTATTAAGAATATTTGTAATTAGCAGTACAACGGTAAGCCATTGCTTATAAATTGTCTTAATTATTAAAACATTGTTAAAATTACTACATTAATAATAACAATAACACCATTTATTACTACTGTTATTATTATTATTATTAATAATAAGAATATTTTTAAATTTCCAGTACAATGGTAATCTATCGCTTATAAACAGTCTTAACTTTTAAAACGTTGTTTCAATTATTCTAACATAATAATAATAATTATTATTATTTATTATTATTATTAAGAATATTTTTAATTAGCAGTACAACGGTAAGCCATTGCTTATAAATTGTCTTAATTATTAAAACATTGTTTAAATTATTACATTAATAATAATAATACCACCATTTATTACTACTATTATTAATAATAATAATAATAATAATAATAATAATAATAATAATAATAATAATAATAATATGTGAGTGTGTGAGGGAGTGAGTGAGTGAGTGAGTGAGTGTGTGTGAGGGAGTGAATGTGTGAGGGAGTGAGAGTGTGTGAGTGTGAGTGAGTGTGTGAGGGAGTGAGTGAGTGAGAGTGAGTGTGAGGGAGTGAGTGTGTGAGAGAGAGTGTGAGGGAGTGAGTGTGAGGGAGTGAGTGTGTGAGAGAGAGTGTGTGAGAGAGAGTGTGTGAGAGAGAGTGTGTGAGAGAGAGTGTGTGTGAGTGTGTGTGTGAGAGAGTGTGTGAGAGAGAGTGTGAGAGCGTGTGTGAGAGCGTGTGAGAGAGCGTGTGAGAGAGCGCGTGTGAGAGAGCGCGTGTGAGAGCGTGTGAGAGAGCGCGTGTGAGAGAGCGCGTGTGAGAGAGTGAGAACGTGAGCGTGTGTGAGAGAGTGAGTGAGTGTGTGTGAGTGAGTGAGAGAGAGTGTGTGTGTGTGTGAGTGAGTGAGAGAGAGTGTGTGTGTGTGTGAG